CGATCACTAAGGTCTTGAAGTTGCACATCTAACACCGTAGAAAATAATTCAACATGATAATGGTGTAGATTAGTGACTTTTTCACCACGTCGTGACCTTCCTCGAGCTATGTATATCTCATCCATATTCGGAATAATAATATCATATTTTTTCACAAAAAGAAGAGACCTCAGCGACTAAAGCATCCATCCATCATCCCTCATCATTTGTAAATGTTGTTGGATACTTTAACTAAATTCATAGCATTTACAAATCTTGATCTTTCCTTTGTAATGCTTGTGATAGTTCATTTGTAATTCTTAATACACCTTTCATCAAATGTAAATTGAATATGAAATCGAAAATTGAATTGAATCCAATAAAGCACATGCTTCACTTCTTTGCTTAGAAGTTGTACCATCCTCTACAATAATCTCAAGCACATCAACAATAGAGGAGAACAAAACAATCACATTTATGAGAGTGCCATAATGTGAGCCCCCAACATGTATCACTGGCCATTTGAAGACTACTTTCTTGATGCAAACCATGCCCACTTGATAACTTTCCACTGCTTAGTGCTTGAATAACCTTACTAGCTCGTTTCTCTCTTAAAATATCTCTTCGTTTGTATGAAGCTCCAACAACATTCAATAAACTGTTGAATTAGCAACAATATTGAAAAGTAATGCAATTTGATTTTGATTTTTTGCAACAGACACAAGTGTGAGTTGAAGTTGATGAACAAAACAATGAACATAAAAAGTAGATATATACTCTTTTATGATAAGACTTTTGAGACCATTGAATTCTCCTTTCATATTACTGGCTCCATCATAACCTTGTCCACGCAATTTTGACAAACTTAATCCATGCTTTGAAAACAATGATTCAATTGCCGTTTTAAGTGATAAAACATTTATATCAGTAACATGGACTATGCTAAGAAAATGCTCAGTGATGCATTCTTTTTTATCCACATAGCACAATAAAACTGTCATTTGCTCTTTAACTGAAATATCATGAGATTCATCTACTAAAATAGAAAACAAATCATCTCCAAGATCATTGATTATTGCGCATGTGGTTTCACTTGCAATAACGTGGACAATATCTTTTTGAATGTCTGGTGCTGTCACTTTGAGATTTTTTGGAACATATTTTAAAACAACATTGTTGATGGTTTCATTGTGCTCAGCAAAAAATTATAAAAGTTCATGAAAATTGGCTTGATTTTTTGAATCCTCAAACTCATCATGACCACGAAATGCTAACCCTTAATGTAAAAAGAATCAAACACAATCAATTGTTGCAGTTAAACGAACTCGATACTCCTTTCGAGCTTGATTTGATTGCTTAGAATAAGCAACTTCAATATGTTGCTTCTGATTCATTAGATTTTGACACTTTCTCTAATTTTTATTATGAGCACTATTTGGACCCCTAACATGAATTTGAAATCTTTCTTTCTTTTTTCAGTTACGGAATCCCTCTATAACGAAAGAGTCACCACCCCCTTACTCTCTCATATCACTTCTCATTATATAACAACATAAGCAATAAGCGACATCTTTTTTAATGTTATACTCCAACCAACTACCAAACTTGTTGAACCAAGATAAACTAAAGTGACGACACAGCTTGCCGAATTTCGTTTGGGAAAAATTATATTCACATGGTTGACATGGGCCTTTTTGTAGATATGCTCTCCGAATTTCATCCCCATCATTAAGATGATAATTCAAAATTCTAATTCTTAACCCAGGATCCACAGGAAGATTTTATAAGTTAACTCCTTCACGACTTTGATTAGAACAATGTCGTATGTCACCACCATGATTATCTATTTCTTGACTAGGAGATGGTTGTTCCAATGTTGATTTTCTTATAAGAAACTTATCCATAGTTGATTGAAAAATAAATTTGTCTAATTAGATTCAAGTTTAATAGTTTGTCATTAAATTCGGAACAAATGAGATAATGGTCTACACATAATTAAAATATAATCCATAAATCCAACATATAATCCAAACTAGAATTTCAAGAAATCAATTAAAATAATTTAATCATAGGGAAGAAAAATAACATTAACCAAGAATATCATATAGCCAATCTGAACAGGGGCTTCAATAAAAATTTAAAATATTTGAGTGGTGACTCAAGACGAAACAAAGAAAACCTACATAAGTCCATAAATAATACACCAAACAACCATCAATTCTACAAGAACTAAACTAATTTTCTAATATAAAAAATCTAATTTTACATTAGTGCTAATACTACTATTAAAAAATTTGGTTAATGGATTACCTCTCCTTAGCTTCAACATAATCTTTTAAGGTTTCTTCAAATTTGATTTGCACAATGATTGAATCCAATTAGTTGATTTGTTGATGAATACACCAAAGAAAGTAAGGAACTAACAAAGAAACTAAATAAAAGAGAGAAGAGAGTTGGACGCTGGACTGGACTGGTATTCTCTCTCGAAGAAGACGAAGCAAAGGCTTACGGGAAAAATCAAAAAAGTAGGGGTGAAAAGGAGAGCTGCCCCAAAGTTAGCTGCCAAAAGTTAGGTTGAAAATTATATTAATATACCCTATATTTTAAGAAAGTTTCAGTGGAGGCAAGTTTAAGAAAATTTGAAAATTTTTAAAATTACACTTAGATGATTACACCAAAGGAAGTAAGGAACTAACAAAGAAACTAAATAAAAGAGAGAAGAGGGTTGGACGCTGGACTGGACTGGTATTCTCTCGAAGAAGAAGACGAAGCGAAGGCTTATGAGAAAAATAAAAAAGTAGGGGTGAAAATGAGAGTTGCCCAAAAGTTAGGTTAAAAATTATATTAATATACCCTATATTTTAAGAAAGTTTAAGTGGGAGCAAATTTAAGAAAGTCTTGAAAAATTTAAAATTACACTTAGGTCCCAAAATTTTTTAAATTTTTAGTAGGGGTAGCTGAAAATTATATTAATATGCCCTATACTTTAAAAAAAATTATGTGCAAGCAAGTTTAAGAAATTCTTGAAATTTTTAAAATTATACCTAGGTCCCAAATTTTTTTAAAATTTCAGTGGGGGCAGTTGCCCCCATATACTACATCCGTCACTGTTCTTCGGGAATCCTTGTCCTTTTGTTGTATGTTGATGATATGATTATTACATGATTAATTGGCTTATCTCTCAACTGGCTGGTGAACTCTCACTCAAAGACTTGGGTTTTCTTCATCATTTTCTTGGAATAAAAGTCCATAAGCTTGCTTCGGGTCTCAACCTTTCCCAAACCCGCTATGCCTTAGATCATTTTCATCATGCTTCTATGGGTGCTTGCAAACCCATCACGACACCCATGCCCTCCAAAGGGCGAAGTCAATCTCTGTCGACTGTCCCATTTCTTGATCCCATTCACTCTCTTAGTATTGTGGGTGGTCTGCAATATCTCAAATTTACTCGACCTAACCTCTCTTATAGTGTAAACTTCGTTTGTCAATTCATGCATGCGCCAACCATGGAACATTACAAACTTGTCAAACGTATTTTACTCTATCTCCATGACACAACTCATTTTGGTTTACACATCATTTCCTCTAGCACTCTTAATTTATATACCTTTTTTGATGTTGATTAGACCGGTTGTCCCTTTACTCGTCGCTCTGATACTGGGTTTTGTACTTTCCTTTGTGGTAACTGTATTTCTTGGAGTGCTAAGAAGCAAACCACAGTCTCCTGATCTAATGTAGAAGTTGAATATACAGTCAATGGCCTCCACCGCTGCCGAGCTCACATGGTTAACATTTTTACTTCATGACCTAGACATCTTTCTGTCACAAACCTCCTCTCTTAGATTATGATAATATTAGTGCATTACATATGACAATCAATCTAGTTTCATGGTCTATCAAAACATATTGAGTTGGATTATCACTGTGTTCGCAAAAAACTACCCTCAGATCCCTTGAGACACGTTTTGTTCCTTCACATTAGTAACTTGCTAATATTTTCACCAAGTCGTTGTCCAAGAATTTGTTTTTGGATTTGAGAAACAAATTTGGCCTTTGCCTTGACCATCGACCAAGTTTGAGGGAACGTGATAAGGCAGATTCAAGTTCAATTACTAGATAGGAGATTTTTTCGCGGAAAGATATGTTTTCTTTGGTGAAGAAATTACAAAAATTGAAAAATTAAGAGTTATGGGATTTAGTTGCTTGAGGGTGGGGTTGGGTTTCACCGGAGGAACTTATTGGATTTTTGTGCAGAGAATTGGACCTTTTTATTTTTGAATTTTCTTTTTCACAGCAAATATTGAGATAAAAATAGTTGTGGGCTTTTGATTAATTTTAAGTCACGTGAAACCTTTGTGATAAATTTTCTCCATTTTAAATGTGGTCAGGTAAGAATTAATTGAAAATTATTCAAACAAAAATGGAAAAAATTGTCAAAATTAAAACGGTTGATTACAGCATGATCCAGGGTCGCGGCCCCCGGGGGAGTGGCATTTTATAATTGACTTCGCAGCTATCGTAATAGGTTTCCAAGACGAGCTTTACTTTATGTTCCAAAAAAAAAAAAAGACAAGTTTTACGTTGGGTTTTCAGGAAATTAGGGAACTTTCTGAACTTTTTCGTATGCAAAGAAAGGTGCAATCATGCAAGGTTGTATGGAGGACTTGGAAGTTCCCTGTAGAACGACTAATCTTTGGTGCAGTACGAACATTTATGTGGGGAGAGCCGTTTTGATCTTTATATGCAGATGGGTATTGGTGATATTGCTCTAAATTTGTTGTATGCTTTGCCAGAGTGAAATTTTTAGCCATATGGAATTGGGATTTGGGAAGCATTATCGATGTTAGCTTCTGCAAGCTAATTGAGTTTTGAATCTGGCATTGCGGTTTCTTAGTCTAGATTTGGTTATGTTGAACTTTCTCATCATGTTTTTGAAATACTTTCTCGTAATCCCCTGAACTAAACATGCCCTTAATGTCATCTGTCTAGCATCGAATATTACCGCATATGCTCGGAATTGAATGGGTATGGAAGGCCTTGAAACGTTTGAAGAAATGACCCAAAAGGATCTGAAACCTTATAAATTGTCATTCTTGTGTGTTACTGGGGGTGAAACCATTGGGGCGTGGTCGAAGAGGGAAGACTGGTGTTTGATTCCTCGAAAACTCGTTCTGGGATATACCGAGATTACTCTTGTATGGTGGATCTTCTTGGCCGTGCAGGTTTACTGGATGAATCAGCGCAGAGCTAAGGCTATCAACATCAAAAGGCCAATCTATGTTGTGGAGCTAACTGTTGCGCTGTTGTATGGTTCACCAAAACAAAGAAGTGGGAAGGAGAGCTGCTAAAATGGTGGTGGGACTTGAACCAGAGCATCTTCAAATTTCAATTCGCAGATTGGGGAATTGGAAATCTTGACTCAAATTAAAGAGCTTGCCATGGCAATACTGTCTAATTGAGGTGAATGATTGCTGTCAAAGTTTACTATTGTGCACTGGAAATATGCCCCTGCAGATTATCCGTTGTGTCTAAACATCCCTGATAAAATATGGGTATCCCTCTTCCTGAGGACTTCTGCAAGGAAGACACAGAATTAGTATGGTGGTGGCTATGGGTGATAACAAACAGGATTTATAAGATGCAATTTTTCATCCTGTTTGGTCTAACCAAATAATTAACAAATTCTTTCTTTTGTGATACTGTATCTTGAACATATATTCATGTAGATTATCTGATTGTGCAATCTCGGATGGATTGCACGACAGAAAAACGTTGGGGGTGTTTGTTCATGAAAAGTAGACACATTTTTGAATAGTGCCTGTTAGTGGACTGGGCCACTGGTTGAAGAGTGAAGCAAAGGACTCCACAAAAATATTCTTACACTTGAAGTGTAGGCATGTAGAAAATATAGCACCTTCATCTACTTCCAAGCCAAGCTTTATATCCCCACAAAACCCACCATTTTGAAACTAATCTGCATATATAAATTAATATATTTTGTCTACTATTATTGATTACATAGATCAAGCAATCTTACAAAACCATCTGAACGCATTAAATCATGGACAAAATCTTCTTTCTTTCCATTCTTGCTTTGCTCATAGTGGCTCATGGAACTGCAGAAAGAAGTTTACCTGACGACATTAACATTCTTGGAAACCTTGAGAATTTGGACATACAAGAAGGAGATGAAATGGAACTCTTTGACTTACCTTCATGGACAAGTGAACGTGGCAGCAAGGTTCTTGTGAATGTTGATGGCTTTGGTGCGGTTGGAGATGGAGTTTCAGATGATACCCAGGTGAGTAAATTGTATTAATATTGTTTATGTAATTTCTGATCAAATTTGAATAAATTCACATTTGACCATACAACTTCATAATTCATGTAAACTCTTCAACTTGTAACCAGATTGGACCCTTAGCTCAGAAAATAGTTGATAAAGTGCCATCACCTGATAGAATACTAGCTCAATCAGCTACTTAAATGAATATTATTGTGGACATAAATCCAAAGCAAGAATGAATGGAGCAGTCAATTCAACATAGTATTCATCATTTAATCAAACGTTACTGCCATTTGAGCTTGACTCATTGGCCATATAATTGTCATTAGGCCTTTTTTGATGCATGGAAACAAGCTTGCTCTACACCAAATTCCGTTTTCCTGGTTCCCCAAGGACGCCGTTATTTAGTTAATGCAACAAGATTTAAAGGGCCCTGTGCTGACAAGTTAGTCATCCAGGTAAACTCCTACTGTATAATTTTTTCTTTTCTTTAATTTTCTGTTCTCCAATTTTGCATTTTTCTTTATGAGTTTCCAGTAAATAGTAGATCATACGACCAGAGTAGCATCTAGTTCTATTTCATACTAGACTATGATGAGTGAGCACAGGCATCAATGTTTAATGATTATTTATCACAACCATCATCTATATGATTCGCTACAGATTGAAGGAACAATTTTAGCACCAGATGAGCCCAAAAAGTGGGATACAAAATACCAAAGAATTTGGCTGGACTTTTTCAATCTTACTGGTGTCCTTTTCCAAGGCAATGGAGTAATTGATGGCTCAGGCAGCAAATGGTGGGCAGCATCTTGCAAAAGGAACAAGTCAAATGTAAGTGTGCTGAATGACTTGTGTACTTGTAACCAATAAAACATAACATCCTGGTTCTGTACTTATTGTTGTTTTTGTTGCCCCTTCTACAGCCTTGCAAAGGAGCACCAACTGTAAGGACCTGATCCCTCTATGATGGATAGTAAAAAATAACCCATTCAAATTATATAAGGCACAACTAATAACTGTGGTTTTTACTTAACTGCTAACAATAAGATATGATTGCAGGCATTAACAATAGATTCAAGCTCAGCTGTGAAGGTTAAAGGCCTTACTATTCAAAACAGCCAACAGATGCATCTTGTCATCTCCAAATCAGATTCAGTGCGGCTGTCTAACATACTAATTTCTGCTCCAGAAAACAGTCCGAATACTGATGGCATACATATCACTGGATCGACAAATGTTGTTGTCCAGAACTGCAAAATTGGAACAGGTTCTCATACTGCACCAGCTTTTCTTTTTTGAACATATGATTTACTCTATTTCCACTCAATTCTTGATAATTATCTGATGATCATAACAAATATGGAGCCAGCCAATGCTTGTTTAATTAATACAATATTCTCTCTGTATCAGCAAATTAGCCCAAGATGTTGCAATTAAAAAATTAAAATCAATGGCGAAATTTTACTTTTGTACATTTCATAGTCATCTACCATATGCATTGCATAGTTATTATGAATGAGAACTCGTCTACCTCACCCAAAATTGGTGGTTGATTTTCTAAGGATATATTCAAAGGAGACTGAATTATATGATGATCTTGCATCTGATGTTTAGGGGATGACTGCATCTCAATTGTTAATGGTAGCTCAAATATCAAGATGAAGTCAATCTACTGTGGACCTGGTCATGGAATCAGGTGTGTTAGATGACAATTTTTTTCCACTTGCGTAATGCTGTGCATTATTGGTTATCATTCTATCTTCTATTTTATTATAGCCACTAGAATTTCTTATAAGGGTGAAACTTCTGAAAGGAGTGAACATTTCTGAAGAATCTGTTGTTTTGTTGTTCTAAGTTTCATCCCCAATCTTTAAATTGTGCAATATTATGATATACCAGCATCGGAAGCCTCGGGAAGGACAACTCAACAGGCATAGTCTCAAAGATAGTCTTGGATACAGCATTCCTCAGAGGAACAATGAATGGCCTCCGGATTAAGACTTGGCAGGTAGTTTTGTAGTCCATTATGAAAAAATAGGTTACTTTTCACAAGTTTGTGATACCACCAATTCAACCCTCTTTTTACACAATGGTTCCTTTGTGGACCTTGTAAACATCAGTTTGTTAACTCTCGACCACTTGCTCTGTTGAGTAGTCATGTTTAACCAAATTTGTGTGTAATGCATAATTGACAGCCTATAGAAATAAGTTTTTGCCAATTTTCTTGTCATCGGCCAAATATCAATCACCAAGAAAGTGTTTGTTGATTCATTTCACAAGGAAAGAAAACTTATCAGTATTGATACCTTTTACAAGAAATAATTTTTTTTGACCCTCTCTCTGATCCATTTTTAATAATATGATGCATGGTAGACCCCTTTGTGTGAGAATGATATGAGTTCCTATTTTCCTGATTTTCTGGTACAGGGAGGATCTGGTTATGTTCGATCAGTACGGTATCAAGATGTAAGGATGGAAAATGTTTCAAATCCCATCATAATTGACCAATTCTATTGTGATTCCCCAACTACATGTCAAAACCAGGTAAAATATCCAAGTCCATATCCTTCAATCCTGTGTCTATATATGATTACTGAACAGAAAGATAGTATCCCAACATCTTCATTAGACAAAACCAGGAATCTGTGTAAGACATACATGATACAACCTTAGTCATTATATCTGTATCCTACAGAAATCTAAACTTGTGTTTCTATTGATTGCCTAGACATCTGCTGTGGAGATAAGTCAAATCATGTATCGAAATATTAGTGGGACTTCAAGGAGCGAAGAAGCAATGAAATTTGCATGCAGTGACACAGTTCCTTGCAGCCACATAGTGCTGAACAACATCAACTTAGAGAAGACGGATGGCACAGTTGAGACCTACTGCAACTCTGCCACTGGCTTTGGTTATGGTTATGTGCAACCTTCAGCTGAATGCCTGACTTCATCTGACAATAGAAAAGAGGATGATCTTGCAAAATCAACCGAAGAGTACCTCATTCATACTGAGCTCTAACTTGTCTTCCTATAGGTGGTTCCTATTACGCAATATAGTAAGTGAAATAGATTGACAGGAGAGATAATTAGTATTCTATGCGGTTGGAGGAGCTCTGAGACTCCGAAATGCCCAAGTTAAATTTCAGTAATAGTTCCAGATGACATATACTTCTATACAGAGAGACTGAACTGAATCAAATTTCGATGATCAATCATGTAATACACTTGAAAATTTTAAAAATTCATTTTAATGAGAATAGTATTATTATGTAAGTTTGCATCTTACTATTAGACAGTGATAATGTTTGTATTTCTTCATAATCAACTTGCCATATGCAAAGTATCTAATAAGAAAAAAGGGTTGATAAAGAAATGGGGAACCACCTTGCTGAAAACAAATGAAGTATTATAGTAATGGCAGGCTGGTACCAGTCATGTTTCTAAGAGCCCAAGTCAGGTTTTCTTCTTCTGAAGTATTTGCTTGACATGATTATATACAAATCCACATCCCTTATTGGTATAAACCATAGTCCTTTTTCTTTTTTTTTTTCCACATGCAATGATATTTCAATCAACTCCACAGAGCCCTTAGTTAAGACACCACTTATCCAAGGTACACCACAGTATTGTCCCCACCCAGCCCCTAAGCTGGGGCCTCACCCAAAGGAGCTTGAAATTCCTCACGTGTTCAGGGGCTATACCCCTAGGCATTAAGTAAGTCAATGGAATATATTTTGATTTGAATTTGATTAGTTAAATACAGATAATTTTTTTGGCTGAGAATCCGCAGAAGCTGTTATACAGATTCCTCCTTGGATATATTGATATTCGATTTAATTCAATTTTGATTTGATCTAAATTATATATATATATATATATATATATATATATATATATATATATATATATATATATATAGGTGTTAGGGGTGTCAACTGTGTCAGATTAAACGGTTTCGAGTTAAGTCTAATCAAATTCGTGTGAAAAATAAATAAATCCGTACATGACATGTTTAAATAAACGGGTGAAAATCGTCAAATCAAAGACAATTTTCGTTAATAAGTGAGTTACAAAACACGACTCTTTGACCCGTTTAAAAAACAAATCCAGTTGGGTAAGATCAAATTAACATGATACCTCTTTTAACCCATCGTCCATTTGACCCGTTTACTTGAACATTCTTTGAAATTTATTATTAATTTTTTTAAAAACTGATTTAGTTAATAACTACACATTTACCATCCAAAACCTATAAGACCTCACCCAACCCCACTTAGATCTGTGCCAATGCATATTAGTTAATCGTATCGTGTTGAATTTTGACAGGCCTAATAAGCATCAATGCACAATAAAATGTTAAAATCCAATTTCAATTAAGTTATTCGAAACAAATCAAATTTTTTATTTTAACAAATCTAAATATGAATTATGAGAAGAGAATTATCGGATATCAACATTAGATTTTTAAATCAAACACAAATTTGAATGGAATTTTGATTAATCCCAATCTTATTATTTTCACCAACAGACCTTCTCACGTACAAGAATGTACTAATGTTATAACAGGGCCCTGTGGATCTATGAAGTTTCCAACTTCAAAAACAAATATACATGTGTACATAAAGCATAGATTAGGCATCACGTGGTAGTGTACCAGCCTTGGATTGCGGATCACGTGCCTGCTCTGAGTCAATGGCTTTAATAGCTTGCATTATTGGCAAACTCATATACAAAAAACAACAGTGGATGAGACTCCCCAGATCTCTTGTCCTTCCCAGAATACCAATAATGTACAGGAAAACCTATGAAGGTACTGTATCGAAAAATAAAAAAATCTTAAACTGTCAAACGGTAGTAATTTCTATTCAAGAAATGATAAACTCTATACAAAAAAAGGGTAAGTGAACCCAAAATTAATAAATTTTACCCAAAAAGTGATAAGTGCTTTGATACCGAATTTTTTTTTTTGGTAGCGTAGACAAACCCTAATGTCGGCCTTGAAGAGATCCGTGAGCACTTGGAGATGGTATGGCTCTTGTTGGGCATAAAACAAACAGGTGGAGACAAATTGTTTGTTGCCATCAATTCCTCAGAATCAGTGGGCGCCATGAAAATAACAGAAACAAGTCCTGCAACTGAAGCTTCACATGCACAAAAAAGAGACCACAGCATTTACATCAGCAACAAACTGGTGAAGACTGTTGCTTTGGAAGCTTAAGATGGGACCCAGGTGTTGTGAACCCATGGTTAGGTTACTTAATCAATGTCAAATTATAATAAATCGCCATGCCTCCGAATATCGCGTAGGATATGATGATTAACTCGCATATCAATTGTTATAAACACATGGGAAGGACTCACTCTTTAAAGGGAAGAGACCAGAAGAGCCAAGAAGTTTTATATGTACATATTTAAGCCTCATACTTCATGGATGTGGGATTGTAACACCAAAGTGTAATTTGGACGGGCCAACCCTAAACCTGAATTCAATTTGAACACTTCTAACTCGAGTCTTAGCATAGAATGTAATATTCCGAAAGAGGAAAAAGGACCTAATATTATTAACCACCAACACTTTATTCAGGTTAAACATTTAGGTCAATAAATTAAGTTCAAGTAATATTACTTATATTAGACATAGAAAGCAGTGAGGGCACTGAATATACATGCAACCAAGGGCCCACAACCATAATTGGTTAAGGCCATTCCATTATGTTTATGACAAAGTCATGCAAGTCTATATTTCACCACTACTATACCAAACATTAAAAAAAATAAATAGTTGAGTGCACAAAAATCTCACCACAAAGAGATTGAACGAAGTTAAATGTATACAGTCTTATCTCGCATATGAAGAGACTGTTTTATAACTTGATCTCGTTATGTTCATGTTACAATTGAACAACTTTACTGTCGAGCCAAGAAATGGACTTTACCTTAGAGAATATAGATGGGTTGTTTGGTAGCTGCAGGGATGGTGCCATGCCAAATCCAAAATGAAACAAAAAGAAATCCCAACCATCATGTGCATGGGGCTCACGAGAGGGCTCCAAAGTTCACGAGCATGCTTCACAAAAAGACGGCATAGAAAGTCCTACTCTACCCCCCTTGTTTCCATTTGTCTCCATCATATTCAATATGTTGGTGGTCACTGCTCACAAAACAAATCTTACCTTATTAACAACACAAAAATATAGAACAGTTCTATTCAACGCAAAAATCTCCATGCAACACTCTTCTACCTTGAAACCCTGAAATGAGAACCTAGAAAATTCAAGAAAAATGCTTACACTCGAGGAGCGAGAAAATTTTTAGTAGATTTAACATACACCGACATTATCCAGTTACATACACATTTGGGAACTTCTATGGTATTGACAGCAGTTCTGATATCGAAAGTTATAATTTTTTAAGGGTAAATTACAATTTTAAAGGACTTAATCGATCATAGAAGGTTGAGATTGATACTGCATTTTTCATTATCGATCATGAGTGTTTGTGATCGATTATAATCTCCCTTAAGTAATTGTAATTTTTCTTTTCAAAATTGTAACTTTGTTATACAAAGTAATAACCGGCGGTATCAGTGTCAATTTTTTTTTTATGGGAAAGGGAATGATCAAAGTGGTCAAAGTCACACAGGTAATCTTGTTGGGGGATTGAAAATGAGTGATTCCCAACAGTAAAGCCATGGGGCCGTACAAGGTTGCACATAAGGGAATGTTAACAACGATAATATTCACACAAATAACAGTTACTATGCAACTTTGGAATTTTAATTCATGGGAATTGCATCGACAAAGCACACAATGAGGGCACAAAGCATGTAATATTTTTCGCTACTAAATTCTCCAGTCAAAAAGAAGAAAATTTTCATTCAATACTCGACAGAAACGGAGCTTGGTGAATTTTCTCCGGAATTGGAAGAGTATTGCAACTAGAAAATAAAAAAAAAAAAATTAAATTTGAGAGAAGCATTCATTGGGTATTATTTGGAGAATTAGGAGATTACAATCTCATCTTCTTTTTTAACTTGTTTTGAAAAGATGTAATATATCTAGAAAGTTCTCAAGCCACTCAAGAAAGTGCAAAAAAGCCTATATTTTATTGTGGTGTCTATAATTCCCCTATTTGTTTTTTTTCTTTTTAACTTTACAATACATTAACAGGTCCAAACATGTGACAAAAAGTGTTTTTTTTTCTCTGTTAATCTTTTGTGAACTAAATTAATGTTGGTTGGGCAGTTTTTCTTTATCATTATTATCATCTAGAAGGAAACATATTTGTAAACAACACCAAAACTACTAACAAAACTGGTTAAAATATCAACCGATTTAAAAACTTGAACTGTTGGAGAATGTGTAATATAACTATTACATGCTTCAACACGTGCCCTCAAGAAAAAACAATGTTACAGAGACTTAATTTGGAGAACTAATCAAAGCCTCAATTCATTGAAATTTTTAGATTAGATGTGAATTCCAAAATAAGGTAGACCCACTTTCATTCAACAACTGCAATTGATCAGGTCTCGAGATTTTGTCCTTAAATTAGGTCCAAATAATATTTTTCCCTCGAGAATACATGCCAAATTTGTAGAGAATGTCTAACATAACTACAATGCACTTTTAACCTTCCAAAAAACTGTCGTATACTCTCTCTCTCTCTCTCTCTCTCTCACACACACACACATACACATCCCTTGAAGATTGGGATATACTGTTTTAAGGAAGAAAAAGAAGAAAGAGATAAAAAGGTTGAACAGTTGAACGGATTGGAGCTTTAAGGTTTGAGGCCACTCTTGCTCGTTAACAAGACAAAGTACAAAACTCTGGCCCGTGAACGTTGCATGTGATGGTAAAGAGCTGTTATATTCAGTGTCTTGGACAATTTATAGACCCACTCACGTGTGTATTTTTGGCTTTTACATGAAATGCCCTTACCAATGCTAATAAGAATGATGTTGATATCAATAATATTCACACTCACACATGCATTATAATCCACAAAACGAACGACAGAGAAAAAGTATAGTATGTGAAGCTATGAAAACCTAAAATTATCATCAAGATGTCCCAAGTTTTAATTTTTATCGCGGAAATGAGAATTATTTGATTTTGATTGCGTACATCAAATGTTTGCAATGTAGCCACAAATCCATGTGCAACAAAATATTGCCACGAAGCACAAATAATTCTCTGTTTGGTTTACATATCAAAAACTATTTTTACAGTTTCTAAGAGAAAAATTGTTTGACTAACTATTTTTTGAAAACTGTGAATAAAAAATGAGTAGATTAAGAGAACAAGTTAGGCTTGTTTTGTGTGTTTTTAAAAAATAACATTTTCAGAATATAGAAAACACCACTACCACCACAACCACATTTTTGTTTTCATTATTTTCTGGGTTACTATCTAAACAAGTTTTACTGTTTTCTGTTACATAGAACTATTTTTTGAATTATATAATCAAACAAGTTATGCGACACAAAAAACACCAAAATACAGTTTTCGGATACTGTTTTTTGAGACGCAAATCAAACACTCCCTAAATGATTCAAAAAACAGTAGGGAGAATAAAACATCAATTTCTGGCACTATCAAACAATCTTTTGCAGCAAAATTTCATAAGCTCTGTTGTGCTCTTCCTATATAAACACCAAACAAGCTCCTCCGTTACGTAAAAGAGCTCTCCACCCCTCTTCACCCCAATCACCCTCTCTCTCTCTCACACACACACACACACGCACCCCTAAACATGAGAGGTTTAAGTTTAAGAAGACTTACATTTATGGTTTCCATTGCCTTCATTGTTTGGTGCTCCAGCATTGATACTTGCAGTGCCAGGAGAGGAATGCATTGGAGGCAAAGCAGAAGTGCTTCAACTTCTCTGTACAAGAAGAAAGGAAAGCATCAAGACAGTAGTCAGCATCACAGCAATGGTAGTAAATCAAAACCAAAAGCTCCACCACCAAATGCACCATCACCTCCACCTCCTAAACCCAAAGAAGAAATCCCACCAACCCCACCAAATAATGGTTACAACCATGGTCCTTCAACTACCTTTGACGTGTTAGATTTTGGTGCAAAGGGGGATGGAATTACCGATGATACCAAGGTAAATCCGCATTCTGGTTCAAGTTCATAAACTAGTCAGATGTTTTAGGGAATCACAACAATAATGCAGGTCCTAGGAATTGCAGATTGTGGTCCAAGTTCTTAGTTTGCGTGGAGTAGTTTGAGTTGTCTGTCAATCCTGGACTGTTAGACGTAGAAGGCTATAAACAAAATCATGCATTCTAAATGCACTGCAAGGCACCAACAGACAGAGCTCCAGCAATTGTGGTTACCACTTAGTTAGCAACTCACAAGTAGTGCAGTTAAGGGCAAATAGGTCCATCGTTGTACTGCCTTCGGCAAAACAACTGGTAGTCCTTTTTTTTTTTTTCCCTACTTTTCGGTAGGGGGTTCGAATCCATGCCTATGGTAGAGGTGGCCCATTGCTACCCGAGCTGTCTGCTTGCAGACAGAGGTTGTTTTAATAGTCAGGTACAAGTAATGCTATTTAAATCTAAAAAATTGACCTAATGATTTGACAATGATGTGGTTCAAGTCATAGAGTTCCAATAAAAAAAATTCAAGAGGATAGAATTCCAATAAAAAAGTCCAAGAATTACGGTCACAATACCATTGATTGAACCACGTCACTGTCACATCATTAGATTAGTTTTTTAGATTCCAACAGCATTACTCAGTCGGGCACATTCTAGCTTCCTCATGCCTGCATTATAAAGCCATTGAGGAAGCCGATAAGACTGATTTAGCAATGACCCCGTTAAAGGCCACTGTCATAACATTAGCTGGAAATCAATTCCAGAAGAGAAAAGCATTAAAAAAGTAGGTAATTGGCACATATTACTGCTGTATTACTAAAAAACAAATTTAAGATATAGAAATATAAAACATTACAAAAAGAAACGACATATAGGGAAAGGCAACAGAAATCCACTGTAGTGGACAACAAAATCAGTAGGGACCACTCGAATTATTCTTGTTACGTCAGTTTGGCCCAGGTTCTGAAAATAACTGTATACAGTTCTGTACCAACTAGCAACTGTATGATATTGAATGTACAACACAGTTCCCAGCTGCAATTGAAAAAGGAATAGATACCAAATATAATCTGATTGACTCATAAAAATGTAATTTTATGCTACATCACAGGCATTCCAGGATGCATGGGCAGCTGCTTGTAAGGTCGAGGCATCAACGGTCATCGTTCCATCAGATTTCGAGTTCCTTGTGGGACCCATTTCATTCTCTGGTCCTTACTGCCAACGAAATATTGTTTTTCAGGTAATTGTGATATTGTAGGTCAAAATGTATTACCCATGCAGGTGTATTAGTACTTAGTGTTCCATCCTCCATTGCCAACCAGTACTAGAATAACACCAATCATAGAAAGTGTATATGTGATCTTATTTGCTAGACCCCAGCTTCAATAAACATTTTATTGTAAATTTTTAAAAAAAAATATGTAACTTAACAATTACTATATTCTTGGAGCCTTACACGTCGAATCTTTCGCAGCTTGACGGCACCATAATTGCTCCAACAAACTCCAAAGCTTGGGGTTCAGGGACATTACAATGGCTTCAATTTACAAAACTGGTAGGGATCACAATTCAAGGAAAAGGCATCGTTGATGGAAGAGGCTCAGCTTGGTGGCAAGATTCCCCACTTGATGATCCTATAGATGACGAAGCAAAACTACTTACCAAGTTGGAACAAAATCCACCGACTCCGGTAATTACTGTTCTGTCCTCTCATATTGTCACCACTTAGTTTCCCCATTTTTTAATAATAATTTTTTTGTAAAAGTTTGCAACAATTTTGTGGCAGATAAGCACTTCATTGGCTGGAAAAATGCCAAGCATCAAGCCAACTGTAAGGACCACTTGAAAACCGCTAGAACCCCAAAATGTATTTCTTGACCATTCAATCCTGACAACGGTACTTTTGCTACACAGGCACTAAGGTTTTACGGGAGTCTTAACGTGACAGTCACGGGCATAAAAATCCAAAACAGTCAACAATGCCATCTCAAGTTTGACAACTGCATAGGAGTTTCGGTTTACGATATGAGTATCTCATCTCCTGGAGATAGCCCCAATACAGATGGAATCCACTTACAGAACTCCAAGGATGTGCTTATCCACAGTACAAACCTTGCTTGCGGTAATACATTGTCGGTAGATGGTTGGGGTCTATTCAGTTTCATTCCTAACAATTTTGCATATATAGTCACGAAGGGAGATTATGCACTTAATCACCATATTACGTAGCAAAGAACTGATGTTATTACTATAATTGTAGACAGTAAAAATCATATCAGTGACTAAACCTGTAGTAGTCACATCCCCCTGTAACCAACCACTAAGGTTTTGACACATTGCAACCATCCCTATCTGATACAAAGCTTATTAATTCACCACAAGCTTCATGGCACAAGTTAACATAACATTTGTCAGGACTTGAATGCTCGAAGAAAAGATCTACAACAGCATTGGGCGCCACAGATAAAAACCCACATATTCCTTTGTTGTTCTAATGTATTCCTTCAATTTCTATTTTGTATTCTTCAAAGATAAGAACCAATGCCCTTGCTCCACTTTCTCATTTCTACAGAGCTTATGAGCTAGGTAGCTCTCAGCATACTGACATCCCATTCATTAAATCACAGACAATAAACATAATTAGACCATGCAAATAGACTATTGTAAATTACATCTCAAATGTACATGCCTCGTGCAGGAGATGACTGTGTTTCTATACAAACTGGATGCACAAATGTATACATCCGCAATGTGAATTGTGGACCAGGACATGGAATCAGCATTGGAGGGCTTGGAAAAGATAACACCAAAGCTTGTGTCTCGAACATCACTGTTCGAGACGTCATGATGCAAAACACAATGAATGGAGTCAGGATAAAAACATGGCAGGTATGGATACCATTTACAATTTATTGACTAGAAACTATAGGAGTCGAACAACATCAGTTAAGACTGGTAGAATTCATCTAACATAACCCGCCTTTGGGACTTCAGAAACATATAAAAAACAAGTAGATCCTTCTTGCTCATTATTAGACCAATGAATAAGGACACATGATCAAAGTTTTAAGTAAACATGAAGGATTGAATCTGGAAGGAATTTTGACATCATATGTAATTTAAGAACTTGTCCCATTTCAAACAGGACAGAATTTCTTGTCAAAAAAATTCAGAACCACCAAACTATTACTAGTGTATGACTTAAGCACTTTGCCCCCTTCTCAAACACTACTTTTGCAGGGTGGCTCAGGATCAGTGCAAGGAGTACTGTTCTCGAACATACAAGTTTCTGAAGTCCAATTTCCAATTGTAATTGATCAATTCTATTGCGACAAAAGCAAATGCAAGAACCAAACATCTGCCGTGGCTCTATTAGGAATCAACTATGAGAAGATAAGAGGAACGTACACAGTAAAACCTGTGCACTTTGCATGTAGTGACAGCATGCCATGTTCGGAGGTAACCCTAACTACCATAGAACTAAAACCATTGCAAGAACAGTACCACCTGTATGATCCATTCTGTTGGCAGACTTTTGGAGAGCTGTACACCCCCACAGTCCCTCCCATTGATTGTTTACAAGTTGGCAAGCCGTCAAATAACTGGATTCAGGCTGTACATGATTCATGTTCAGCATAGCCTAGGTATATTCTGGTGTATTTCAGATGTGTGGTTGGCGCGTTTCCTGACCCCATTCACTCCAATACCCGGTTAGGTAAGGATTGCATACCTTAGTAAATTCTTCTCTACTAGGACTAGATATTTTACCTTGTGTGGGAGTGTACATACATTTTTAGTATCTAAGAGTTTGCTAGTAAGGTATAAAACAGCCCTCTATGGAAACTGTCTCAATGTTCAATATATATACAACTCAATTGCTAGATGTCCAATAAATAAATCACCATTTCGACACATCTAAATCTCACTGCCAAAAGAGAATATACAAATATGATGACACTGTTGTGTGACGGTTCCTCTATTGGTGATGGAAAATGACAAGAACAGGTTTAATATGTTTCACAAATAATAAATGCCAATTGCTTCATATTTCACAGGAATCAACAGAGTACAATTGATAATTTATTGTATACAATGTGACAAGTTGCTTACGAAGGAAGGAATCAATAATGGCACAAAAAAGAATGACAACATACACTTGAGTCTGAAGCATCAAAACTGGACCAGACTCAGAATCGGGTCAATGTTTCATTGGTTCAAACGTCGGGTCAACTGTTTGGACCAGTAGCATAATAAAAAATAAAATATATTATTAACAATGATGAATATACCAAAAAATTTGAATAGATATAAAAATAACATTTTTTATGCTATAGTAGATCAAATAAGAACACAAAAAAAAATTGGAAAATTACCAGATTGACAAAAATAGTAATATTGTGATGACAAAAAAAAAAGGATAAAAAAGATTGAAAGAAAGTTATAAAGCAATAAGAGAAGACTAACATTACACTGCTAACAACGTATCCCACATCGGAAAACAATTGCAAAAAAGATGCACTATGCTTTTATATAAAATAAACCAAAGCTTGTCAGTTGGAGAAGTGTGGCCCTGGCTTAACAGCCTCATGCCAGCCAAGCATTAGTTTAGAAGTTTTATTCCAAAGCAAAAGGTGACACGCTTGGATTGGTTGAACTGTTCGATTTACACTGGTTTTATTAAAGTTTGTCCAGTTCAATTAGGTTTTTAGCGGTTTGATTACTTGAGCGATCCAATCCTACAACCGGCCCGGCTTAGGGTCTAGTTCACCGGCCGGTCCAATTTGTTTCTATCAAGAGAATATCAAGGCAGAGCTACAGCAGGCAAGATGCAGGATACACAAGTCCGTGCGCTTATCATTATTATAGACAATCAAATTCAGGATCCAAAACTTAATACTTCACCTGGTTATTGTCCCCCTTACTATTCTTCCAGGCGGTTCAAAGTAATGAGACCCTCCATAATTGCCCTTGGACTCAGTTGGAGCCTCCTTTTTTAACCAGCTCTCAGCAATCACTCAGATCCATAGTGCTCCCATCTCCATACATTGTGCGACAACTTGATAATGGCCCAACCCTTGAGAGACCATTAGTAGAATACACAGATTGAATGATGGAAATGATCCGCAGAGGCATGAAAAACTATAGGTTGAGAATCTAACACCCAAATCCTGGGAAACTAAGATGTAAACAATCACTAATAATGTCCTAATTGAGCCACAAAACAAATTATACAACTAAATACTTCAGAAAGATTTCAAAGATGAGTGATCAATATTATTATCAATCATGTAGAAGGAGTCAGTAAGTAGTACATATTCGAGTAATAGCACAAGAAGTAGCACTAGACTCGAGACCCTTACACCCATTGAACTAACATACTTACCAGATGTCATTACAAATTATACACTAAATACTTCAGAAAGATTTCAAAGATTCTAGATCAATATTATTATCAATCATGTCGAAGCAGTCAGTGGTACATATTCGAGTAATAGCACAAGAAGTAGCACTAGACTCATGACCCTTACACCCATTGAACTAACATACTTACCAGATGTCATAGTAACATGAAAAAAAAAAAGAAAAAGACAGACAAACACTATATCCTACTCAGTTTCTACAGGTTTCAAAATCCCTCAAATTAAGTTAGTTTGCAATTCAACCACCATGATCTTCCATATCTGTCATGTCGATCTCATATTCATCATACAGTTGCATTTGCAGATCAAGGCCCTAAAGCGTCACCCCTCTTGTGGTCTTCCAGGGCGGGCATTCATTATACATGCAAAAAACATTGTAGCCCTCAAAGATATTCAATAATCATAAAAAAATTGCAGTCATAACAGACTCACCAATTAGAATAGTAGTTATATAGAATGCGTGACGTTTGCAAAGATGAGTTCGGCTATTCAGAAATCAGAACAATAAGAGACTCAGAATGGTAGCCTCAAATTTCAAGGACCCAGAATATTAAATCCATCTCTGCATCTCTGCCCTAAAGCAAACACCGTCACAAATTCACTTAGACTACCTCAAAACGAGAAACATACAGTTCTGCCCAGCGCTAATTTTATCTTCTTCTTTAGTACATAGACTCCATATAAGTTACTGCCCAGATCAATAACTGCATCCTGTAATGAGCGGTGGCTTCCATCACTACATTAACACCTTCTTTCGTAAAAGATCCCCGTGTCAGTTGGCCATAGATCCTTATCTATGGAAAGATCTCCTGCAACTGTACATGTATGACAAAAGTTCACATGGAAAAGATGTCACCTTAGTTGGTAAAGTTGAATTGCTTTTAAGTAGCTAAAACAGTTTTCAAATGCTGAACTTGGTTTGGTATTTTGTACGATGTCTTGCCCTTCTAATGATGAAACATGGAAATTGCATCACTGATCCATCTCCCAAAATGTCACTATGATATTGCCACAAATCCACAGACATCCCTCCCCCCTGCCAAGCACCCCAGCAACTTCTGCACATATTTCCTTACCTATGGCATTATGAGTTCCATTATCTGCTTGCCAAGATTTTCCTAACCAGGCATTGACACACATTACTCTTTGAACCCTTCATCAGTAGGCTTGTGATAAACCAAATCTCCCCCTTTACAGGATCAATTATTCAGATTTCATGACCGGAGCTGTCTTATTTGCATCCAACTAGGTCCATAATCAAATTAATCAAACTGGAAGGATCCCGTACCAGGCCCGGCCCTAGGCATAGGCCACTAAGACTGCCACCTAGGGCCTCCAAATAAGTAGTAATATTTGGGGGCTCCAATTTTTTTTTAAGATTCAATTAAAATAATTTTAGGGCTCTCAATTATGACTAGTCTTGTAATTTTAGGTACAATCTATCAACCAATAAAAAAATGACACGACATTAATTAATGAATTTGAGTCTAACTTTAGTAGATTTGCACGATAAATGGATGAAATTATTTGGCCCTAAAAATCAGTAAGTCAACATGACCTCACGAAACGCAACGCAACAAACTTGTTAAAGTATACATAATTATAAGTAGGACGGACGTATATTAAGCAAATTCTGACATGATACGATTGCATGATTATTCTTATATTACCTTTATTTTTAGTCTTACTTATATTTATGTAAATATTGAAAAAATGAGTTGTCTCCCCATGCAATATTTTTAATTTATTACAATCAAAGTCAATTAGTTGATTAATTACTTATCAACTAATTTTCATAAATAATAATTTTTTCTAACTTAAATTCAAGACTTTTTTTTTTATCTGGTTCATTCTTTAGCTCAATTATTTTTTTAAATACACAAGAAACACACAAAGAATAACAGAAAAACATATTGAGTTTAAGTAGTTTATTATTCGAAATTCTTATTGACAATCGTTTTTTTGAAAATTCATTTAGTTGTATTAATAAATTTCAATTCTATTTTTTTCTATATTTTCAACTGATAACAAATTCAATTATATTTTAATCTCTAGATCTATCTTCAATTAATAGATTTTTTATAACTAAAGCTTGAATGCAAACTAGTAATTTTACATCTCAAATACAAGAAAAATAATTTTTAAATGAATATATGTTAATATTTTAATATTTATTTTGTCGTATCTATATTATTATA